TCTCTCTCTCTCTCTCTTTCATTTATGTGCACACGTTCTGGTTCATGCATACGCGCGATCACGTATTCCGGCGTATTTCTCCGCCAATATCGTTCTTTTCTTCAGTGTGGCGTTTCGCATTTCGCCGCTACCCGCTCGAAATTACGTCAGCTACTGTAACGAATATTATATAAAACGAGAACGCGGTCAAATGCAGGAAATAAAATCGAAGCAAAACGCGTGTTTCTTTTGTCGGGAACTGGCTTACAAACGCAAGCTGGAAAAGTGGCGATGTTTTCTACGAAAGGGGCAACGTAAAGAGCATCGTAGCTAGTTAGAGACAGTACACTCTCCAGTCTGGTTTCCTGATAAGAAACCCAACACCGGAATATCTATAGTGGAGATGCTTTTTTCTTATACACTTGGCCTAGGAAAAAGAGGTAGATAGCAGTTTAAGAATTCTCTCTGTTTTATCAGATCACCTATCTCTGGCCGTTTCCTTTTGCCTTTTTTTCCTTTCTCTCAGTCGCTTGATCGTCGTTCCTTGTTCCAACGCTATTCTCTTTTCCTCAGCTACGGATTAAGTGTTTACACATTTTCATTCCTATTTACGCAGGCTCTGCATGTCGTCGTGTTCCAGGTCCGAGAAAGAGTCCCTCAGAAAAAGTCTAGAGAGCACTTTTATCTGGATTTTATTAAACAGCGATCAATAGCGAGGAAACGGTTTTTATCAGACGCAAGAGGCAGAAGTTTCGTGAATTACGACGTTTGGTCCCGGCGTCGCCGTTTTAAGCGACGTTTCTCTCTCTCTCTCTCTCTCTCTCTCTCCTTTTCTCTCTGTCCCTCTGTCTCTTCGTGTTTCGTGTATTTGCATTTAGATTCTGGTTTTTGGAAATACGCTGCCTCCATATCTATATCTATAGATTTGTACATATACTTCCACATCTATATATATATAGTAAGCATACTTTTGTTGTATGTGTGTGTGCGCGTGTGCGCATAGTACGAACGCGCGAGCGCGCCAGTTACTATCTAATTTTGTCCTGGTTTCCGGAACCGTGTTTTTGTCGTGACATCTGACGGATACGTACGAGAGCCTTTCTCAGGTACTTTTAATATTTATGCTCTCTCCTGTCCTCAACCCCATCTCCAGCCCCCCTGAATCTGGGACGTGTAATATTTACGTTCCGTCTTGCACGCTGGAAATTCATGGGCCGAGATTTTTCTGATCTGAGGATGATGTATAATAGGATCGCAGCCGCGACGTATTTCGATTATGGCATTTTATACACCACTAAATGGTCGGCACGGAGGCACGGATTTCGACGGCAGACGGAATACGATATACGAATGTATCATCTGTTCACAATCGAACGAAATATCCTGCGGATTTCGACGATCGATTCGCGTGCCTAACGTTCCCTCTGACAATGAGTGATGAAATCGATTCGTTAATTACCTCGACTGTGTCCCTTTGACTCGCCGCGAATTTAAAGACTTCGCCCGTTCGAAGCGACGTCCTTCGATGAAATTATACCTTTTCCCGTCCATTCGTTCGATTTGCGCGATCAGCCGTTTCCACTGTGAAAGATTTAAAAAAGATATCAACGATAAAACGTCGCGACCCTCGAAAATTTATAAAAGAATTCGATCGTCCGCTCGTTTCAGATCAGTGCCCCCGGGCGAATTTCTCAAACGCTCCAACTCCTCGAGATATCGTATCGCAGTTTCAATAAAAGATACTCCCGTTGTAAAACGCCCGTATTTTGCGTTAAATTTCAACGTTACACTCGAACGAAACGACCGTCACTTGCCGTGCCACCTTTTGAAAAACTACGGGAAATCGATTTCCAGCGGCAACTGTCTGACTATACGCGTGCCCATTCTCCTCGAGCGTAGCCCCCACCCCTCTGCCTCTCCCTCTCCCTCCCCCTGCCGCCCTCGTGTACTACACGGCGAACAACGGTTAGACAAAGACGAGTTCTCGTCGTCGTGTTAATACTGTCAATCGATTAATTCGAGTTAATCGAAAGAGCATTTTCAGGACATTTCCATCGTCGCTGGTTATTAACGATTGCTCTTGTCGAACGAACGGTCAGCCGGAGGGCCGAGAGAGAGAGAGAGAGAGAGAGAGAGAGGGGGGGAGGGGAGAACGGAAGAAAAAAGAAATTGGATTACGTAGCTTGCTCGCTAATTAAAAAGCGATCGAAGAGAATGGATCGGAGAAGCCTTTTCTCGCAATCAACAGTATGCGCGTTCGCGAGTGGCTCCGTGGCTGAAAATCAAATTGGATTACCAGAGAATAAGAAGTTGATAAAGACGTATTTAACGAGGGCATCGGCTCGGAAGGAATTTATCTTCCCCGGCAACTTTCGAATCGATAACGATCGTAGCCATTGTCGCAAAGACAGTTTTGAAAGTTGACCCTAATGACGTTTCGGTAAATCTTTCTAATAATTAGACAAATAGTATCGTAGAAAAAAAAAATAAGAAAAAAAGGGAGAGAAAAGAAAAATAGACGGAGGAAAAGGAGAATTTTTAACGTACGTGGGATAAATAACTCGCCTCTCGCTTGCCGGTAGGTACGTCGACCTTTCCAAGTATGCGAGCGCGTGGCAGATCTAATTTTAATCATCCGATATTGCTACATCACCCTTAAAACTTTCAACACAGGCCGGAGAAGGGATTAGATCACACCACATTTAATAAGCTTCTCAATTTCTGCCGGGTATATAGACTCGAGTTACAATTTCTTTCTCATCGTGGAAATTAATTAAGAAACTAAATTACAAACTACACAACCTGGATAATTCGATCCAGGTGTAATTGAATGCTCGGAAAGCGAGAAAAGATTGAAGCGGAGGAAAAGAGGAGAAAAAGGGAGGGGAAAAGCCGGGCGAAACGAGTGAAATAGAGAGAAAGAAAAGTCCGGGCGAGTGAGGCGCGATTCGAGAGAGCAAAAATTGGTCAATCCGACGAAGCGTATAAACAACAAAGCGCAATCGCTTTAACGGATCGGTTGAAATTCACGTACGCGCCGAGAAAATCGCATCGCGCCGCGATAGAAAGCGTATCATCGTTCGGAATCCCGGGCGTCCTTGAATCGTGACGTTTTAATAAATTTCTGACTCGCGACGGATTTCTGTTTTTATTTCCACGATACGCGCGTAGTAAAAACACGCGTAGTGGGGCGCGCGTTCTTTTGCGCGTCCGCCGACGGGATTCAACGCGGTCGATCGCGATATCGAGAGGGAACCACTTGGAGCGTGGACGCTTCAAAAGAGCGTGCCTGTATCACGCAGAGGAGCGCTTAAAACTCGATCCAGGCTGACGTTCATGTGCGTTCGTCCGTGACACGACGTGAAACGGAAGCCCTGTCGCCGGGGGTTGAAGGCGGACGGGCAAAAGTGTATCCGGCTGGGGATGGCGAAGGTTTTGCCCTCGTGTTTGCAGTGTTCCGTCACACCTGATCCTATAGCGGATTCGCGGACTGTCGTGTCAGTCCGCGTCGGTGAGCGAACAAAGACGAATACGATGGCTCGAGTAAACGAAAAGGTGGTAGTCGGGGGCGTTGTATGTTGGGCTTGTAAAGAGAGAGAGAGTGAGAGAGAGATCGCATTCGTGTAGTAAGGGTAACTTAAAATTCTTCGGGTTGCGTCAGCCTGTGGAGAAGATAGCACAAAGGTTGCCTAGCTCATGAGACG